TGGCTTGGGGGGGAGGGAGGAGATGGAAAGAGGGGCAGGGGCTTTTCCCTTCTGGGGGAGCCAGTGCCAGCCAGGCTGAGAAGCTACAGACCCCAACATTGTGATGGCAGCCAGCACAAGCCAGTGGGTGGGGCCAGAATAGCACCCGGTATTGGCCCCCCAGCCCAGGGACAGAGTTGAATTGGCCTCCCCACCTCAGGTCGCTCCAGGCCAAGGCAAAGGCTATTGGGGGGGATAAATAGGGCATGTGCAATCCACCCTCCGCTGGATCAAATCCGAACTGCCTCCTGAGCGGGGGAACTTCTCTGAGGCAACACCACTGCCTGAGTCTGCAGACACCCTGGGCCCATCGCTGGGAGAGGGCAGTGATGCCCCAAGTGTGGCCAATGTAGTGGCACAGCCTGAGTCAGCGGAGAGCCCAGTGCTGTCGCATCACAGCCATTCATCCCCTGGCTTTGGCCCTCCCTACGGCCCTGTGTGCAGTGGCTGGGCTGGGTCTGGATCCTAAGCACCTGGGCTCCAGTGGTTAATCTTTGCATCCTGGAGGAGAGAGGGCCGGTGGCACACAATGTTCCCTCCTTTCTCCTCTCGCTCCCCCCCAGATATCCCCAGGTACCTCATTCAGTTAAGAGTTCCAGCAGCCTGTAGGAGAGTTGGAAAAACGAGGGCTTGGCTGGGAGGTGAATGGGACCAGGATTGTGCTTTGAAAGGTATTAAAGGGGAAAACTGCACTGAAAATGGAAAAGCAGAGCCAGGCGTTTGAGACTTACTGGCTCCTCCAGGTGGCAGCTGTAGGAACATCAAGCAGCCACTGAGGAAATGGAGCAGCCGTGGGGTGAGCGGGAAGCTCCATTTGTGGGTCAGTGACTGGTCAGACAGGAAGCGTGGGGAATAAATGGTCTGTATTTGCTGTGCAGAGAGGTAAAGAGTGAGACTGGGACTGGGGCTGTTCCATACAATCTGGAAGGGCAGTGAGGGGCCGAGCGACGTGGATTGCAGATACAAAGATACTCGAGCTGGTGAAAGCCAAAGATGATGATGGAGAGTTACAAAGGGAGCCCACTAAACTGGGCAACAAAACAGCTGATGAAATTCAGTGTTGATTAATGCATGTGGGAAAACATCTCAACTCTGCACACAAAACAATGGGGTATAAAGTAGCTGTTACTGCCCCGGAGAGAGCTTTGGAGTCCTCATGGATAGTGCTCTGCGAACATCCATTCAATGTAGCAGCACTCAAATCTAAGGCTATGTCTACACTACCGGCTTTTGCCAGCAGACAGTATGCAAATGAAATGCTGATTAGCATTCTGTTGTGCTTTATTTGCATAATCTATTCAAGCTGTTTTTGCACAAGGGGTTGAACAGGATTCAGAAAAGAACCAGATCAGCTCCTGAAGAACAGGTCCATCACCAGCTGTTAGCCACTATGCAACCAGGGGATAGGGTGTTCACCTGGGGAGGGCAGGGTGGTGAGTTCTAGTCCTGCCCATGCAGTGTGCCCCACTGGAAGGTGGGATAAGGGATGCCCTGGAGGTGAGGTGGTGGGGTGGGTTCTGGCATGGAATAGGGCATTAGCCTTGGTGTCCCTAAACCTCCACCTGCCACAAGCTGGGAATGAGTGATGAAATGTGTGACTCAGTAATTGCCTGTTCTCTTCATTCCTTCTGAAGCACCTGGTCTTGGCTGTAAATCGAAGACATGGGTATAAAAGTGAAGCAGTCGTGCCTGGGCTCCCAGGCAGGGCAAGGCTAGAGGCTACTGCCCATGTACAGGGGAGGTGGTACTGCAGTAATGCCATGACCATGCAGAAAAATGAAGGGGGAACCCGCAGTGGAAGCCTTCTAGCTGGGAGCAGCCACAGCTGCAGCTGCAGAGGCCGAAGCATGAACTGTTCTGCTGCAGGGGGTGAAATGGGATTCAGTTGGGGTCACCCCAGGCCAGCATCCTCCCCACCCAGGTACCTCTTCTGCCATGTGGACTTGCTGACATTGCAGTGATCACATTGATTGGGGTGTTCCAGCTTTATCCCCCACCCTACCTGCTGCTCTGGGTTTGTGTGGTGCCTGGTGCAACATGACCCTGGTCTTGGCTGGCCCTTTGTTACCATGGCAATAAACATGATTGATGAGCAGCGATCCCGGGGGCAGGGTTTGTGGCCTGAGACATTCCAGTGGGGCAGCTTGCATAGGAAGGGCGCTCCTGTCTGCCCTGGGAACCTAGGAAAATACAGAACTGGCAGCTGCAAAGCGGAGCTGGAACTGCAGCCATGAGGACAGAGGAGCAAGGGAGACACTTGGCAGTGAAAGAGGGACTGGAGCCCAGCCTCTCCCACCTGCCGTATAGCACTGGACACAGTGGGGACCTGGACCAGGACAGGGTTGCCTAGGGACTACTGTAATACACAATGCGGGGCTGGGCTATGGAATGGGGCTCCTAGAGGCTACCATAATCCACCTAGTAGTAATGTGCAGCTTTTAGCACGAGGGAATCCTGGCAAATGCGGCCATAATACATTGAATAGACGACTGCAGTAGAACCCCGTTTATCCGGCCCTCCATTATCCAGCTCGCCGTATTAACCGAACAACTGGCGCACACATGGCCAGAAACTAGTGATCCCTCCTGGGGCTGTAGACAGAGCTGCAGCCTCACGCTTTCCCATTCCCAGATTACCTGAATGTCTGTGGAGTTCTTCAGGAGGGCAGTCGGGTCTCTGGCTCCATCGATGATGATAACCAGAAGGCTGCTTGCGTGTGTGCTCAGTAATGTGTGCCATGTGGACTTGTGCACTTACGTCTCCACCGCAGACCCCAAGAGAGCCCCCAAAGACCACAAACTAGATAAAGATCGAAGGTGCCAGGCCAGGTTTATTGTAAAGTGAAATACAGTCATAGTTGTCAGTAGACGCTACTGAACCAGTACACACATGTACTTGCCACAATGGAATGACTCAATGGGAAATTTCCACTGCCCTCTAGGTCAGTCTTTCTCAACCAGTGGTACTGGTACCCTTAGGGGTACTCGAGAGAAGTCTGGGGGGTATGTCAACACCACTGAAATTTGGAGAAAACTAACATTTTGCTTTAAGTTTTACAGTGATTTATTATTTTTGTACTTTTTACACCCAAAAATGTCATCACCCGCCCGGCTACGACTAAGTTGTTTAAACAAAAGTGTTGTAATGGTAGAAAAAGATGTTGTGTGTCTGAAAACTGTAGGTCATATCATTTTTTTTAAAGGGGTACTTTATAAAAAAAGGTTGAGAAACACTGCCCTAGGTCATCCAAAGATTATCTCCCCAAGACACCATCTTATATACAGATACAACAAATCACACTTCACTGCTGACATATCAGGTTGCTACCCTCTGACATTGTCAGGTTATCACCCATCACTCTGTATCTCATGGTGTGATTAGATCATCTCTATCCATCATGCTGTGATTTTAGACCCTTTCCTGAACCTGAGTCTGTATCTGCGAGGAGTGGGTCCCAAGGTCTTTTTTAATGAGCTAGTGATAACATGTTCTTTCCACTAATGACAAGTACCAATGACTGTTCTGCACCTGGGCCTATTGCCAATTAGTGTTTTGCA